TAAATTAGGGACAAAATTACACTTCCCAAGTCTTTACCAAATATAAAGCACAAAAGTTCAAAAACCTGAAGGAGGACAACTGCCAGCTTAGTCAGCAATACCCCACCCTCAGTGGCATTATCTGTAAATAAAGTTTCATTCCTGGTCAATAAAATAGGTACTTACTTCAGATCTCGCTTCTTCCCAAGTACACTTTTAACTTCAGTAAACATCACTTCACTGACCACTCACAACTCTATCTCCACACGCTAACCAAAGCTCCTCTCTCATTTTCCCTTTGCAGGAAAATGGAATTTCAGATGGCATCCACTATAGCCACGCTACTTATTTTTCTAGCCGTCCTTTTCCCATATTGTTCATGTGAGACCCAAAACATTCAGATCAGTAAAATCAAACCTTCTGCTGCTAAATCTGAATCTCCAGCTCCAGAGGCAGCAGCACCCCAAGTCAGTTTCACTTCTGTAATGTCAGCTCACGGATGCAAAATCTTCGCCGACATTTTACTAGCTTCACCTGCTGAAAAGACATACGAGGATAATGTCCAAGGTGGTCTAACCATTTTTTGCCCAACCGACGATGCAATGAAAGACTTTGCTCCTAAGTTCAAGAACTTAACTGCTGACGGGAAACAGTCCGTTCTTGAATATCATGGTGTTCCAGTTTATCAATCGTTGTCGAGTTTGAGAACAAGTAACGGTTTAATGAACACGTTAGCTACTGATGGTGCTAATAATTACGATTTTGTTGTTCAAAATGACGGCCAAGATGTTACACTGAGGACCAAAATCGACACGGCAAAAATTACAGGAACTGTAATTGATAAAGAGCCGTTGGCGATTTTTTCGATTGATAAGGTTTTGGAGCCTAAGGAATTGTTCAAGGGTGCTCCGACTCCTGCTCCAGCACCAGCTCCGATAGCTGAGTCCCCCAAGCCGGCAGGAAAGAAACATAAATCCCCGCCGGCGCCTGCTTCTCCGGCGGATTCCCCGGCGGATGGTCCCACCGGCGATGTCGCGGATTCAAAGGCAGATAAGAACGGTGCGTTTAGATACAATGCTGGTGCACTGATGGTCCCTGTTTTGTGTATTTGGTTTGGCCATTTGTTGCTGTAATTTTATTTTGTTAGATTGACCTTTTCTTTTTCAGTGTTTTTTTAATTTAATTTGCTGTTAAGTCTTAGATTTGAAATAAGATTGGCCAATATGGGTCTCTGAATAGTAACTTGTATTTGTTGTGGTATCATTGCTTTTACTAGGTTTCTGAGTGCCTTTCTAAAAAATTTCACTGTATTATTTCTTTGATTTTCTTTGTTTATCTACTTCAGAGTGAGATGTGATTTTATATTCACATGGAAACACTTTTGCTTGTGAATCATAACTTTATTGGTGTTCGGTTTCTGTTAGGTGTTTGTCCAGATTTTCTTACCATAAATTGTTTCCATATCTCATGAACGAAAGGACAATATATTTACCATAATTGAATTTTTGTTTTCCCGGAAGAAAAATATAATTCTCTCATATTTAGCTAGCCCTTTTTCTTGTAGGAAAAGGTTTGAAGTTCTATAAATTGAGGATTCGCCCTTCTCATTCAGTAGCATCCACAATGTAGCCGTAGTGGGCTTGAGAGTCTTATTTAGGGGGGAGAACTTTACGGGATAAGTGTTAGTGTGTCACATGTTTTGCCTCTTCGTGAGTTTGTTCTTTCGATATTTTGTACTCTCTTTTTATTATAGTGGATTGCTCATCTCCGCCGTGGATGTATGTCAGTTGATCGAACCACGTTAACTGTTTGGGTCTCTTTTGTTAGATTTCTTTTTGTTGTCTGATTTATCGTCGTTGAAGGTTTACTTTACTAACTTTCGCATGACACCTGACTTTTTTCGGCCTCCACTGTAGATAATAAAGTTTTCCCTTAAATTCAGCTATCAGTTGAACAACTATCGATGAATCTAGAAATCTTCTTGGTCACGACTCACGAGTCGCTAGAAATTGAAACAAGTGCAATCAATTACACTTGATACTTTAATTTTTAATTTAAATTTAGGTTAATAAGTTGGATACAGATATGTGGATATCAACTCAAGATTTTCTTTTCTCCCTTTTTTACTCTTTTCACAGGAGCTCCCCGCTATACTCCCTTGGTGATTAGAACCCACAACCTTTGATAGCCTGTTTGGCCAAGTTTATTTTTGGGCCAAAAGTATTTTTCCAAAAAATTGAGGTGTTTGGCCAAGCTTTTAGAAGGAAAAAAAGTGTTTTTGAGGAGAAGCAGAAGTAGAAAAAAGTAGCTTCTCTCCAAAAGCACTTTTCTGAGAAGCACTTTTGAGAAAAATACGCTTAGAAGCAGTTTTCAAAAGCTTGGCCAAACACTAATTACTGCTCAAAAGTGTTTTTCAAATTAATCAGCCAAACACAAACTACTTCTTACCAAAAGCACTTTTTTAAAAAGTATTTTTAAAAAAAAGCACTTCTCAAAATAAGCTGATTTTAGAAGCTTGGCCAAACGGGCTATGAGTTGGAGATGAAGAATACTTACTACTTGAGCAATCTTTTTTGTCAGATGTTTTCTTTTTTAATGCCTTTATTGCCCCATTAAATAAGGGAGCGGGTAACAGAAAAATATTAAGGAAATGGTTCAAAAAATTACCCTTCAGTAAGGGGTACTGAATTATAAAATTACTGAAGCTGCTATCTGAGACTCCAAAAACGGGTTTTAAAAAAGATAAATAAATAAATTTAAGAGCTTTACAAGTATTTAAAATCACATAAATATTATTAAATTAAGTGTTTGAGTTATAAAATAAAATTTTACAAAAAGTACATCCTCTTAAAAATGATGGATATTGATCCTATTTGCCAACATTTTTTTGGTCAAACATTAAAATTTTATTTATCAAGTATATATTTACGACCGCTTGTTCTTTTTGAACTATAAGAACAAGGCCTCTATTTCATATTCTACCTATCACATAAACAGAATTAAACTCTAACGGAAATATGTTTTCCGTGGTAAATGTTTTCCAAGAAAATGTTTTCGTGGAAAACAAGTAGTAATCTTATTCATTTTCCAGTGTTTGGTTCGCAAATTAAGGAAATTGACTTTTCAAGAGTATTCATAAATAATTTAGATATAATAAACATGAAGCCATAAACTTTCAAACCAACAACCTTCCGAATCCCTAAATTTCATAAACTTTCGAACCGCTAAACTTTCGAAACCGCGGAATTTCGAACCCGTAAACTTTATAATTTCTAAACCCGTAAACTTCCAAACACGTAAACCTCCGAACTCATAACTTTGTGTCACGACCCAATTTAGGATCGTGACCGGCGCTTAGGAGCAAGTGCTCCCAAGTAAGCCTCATCGGTAATTTTACAAAAAATCGGGCAGAGTTTCCCCTGTTTTTGGACCATCCCAAAAATTTCCTGTCTCAAATCAGCGATCAAACAACCTAATAGCAATTCAACTGGCAATTGACAACTTACCAATTAGCCAAAATAAGTCTCCACCATTACTAATCAACACACTAACAACCAAAAATAGTAATCTACCTCCAACTTTCATAATAAACGATACTCAACTTAAGACTATAATAACAAAAGAATACTCATGACACTAAATTATTGACTATGGAGCGACTCTAAGAATTCAAAGAAAAGACCATAACAACTGGAAAAAAATCTCCGCCCACGCGAACAAGTGCGAGGCTCACCAAGAATTCTCAACCTGTGCGCTCTAATTAACGAAATCCTCGCCTGTGTCAACTGCTGTCTCTGTAAAAAAAGTTAGCGGGGAATGAGTCGCTAGCTCAGTGAGTAATAACACTTAACCACAACCGTTTTTAATTTGGGGACAAGTCAGAAACATGCTAGTATCTCAAAGAGAAAATACATAAAAATGCCCTTTCAAAAACAATAAATAATTTTCAGTCTTATCACGCTTTTCTTGTAGTAAAATATAATTAACAATTCAGTAATAAGCTCGGTAACCACTGTATAATATCAGTATTCACATTTTGGGATGTTTCAATGAATGGATCATGTAATCGGTATAACTGTGGACTTATTTGCAAGAAGTCAAATGCAACGGTAGTCCGTACTTGAGGGAAATCGGTAACTGTATGCTAGTTCTACCTTCCCACTAGCGAGGGCTATAACTGTACTCTGTAATCGGTAAATACAAGGTGCACCAGGTCTAACGAACCCGCCGTTAGCTACGGGATCCTTCAAAGTCTACTCCCATTTATACTTGTCTCTGTAACCGTATATACTCATAGGAAAGTATTTTAAAACAATATAGGGCATTTCGATTCTTATCAAATCATATAATTTCTTTTCGATAATAGTAAATTCAAGTAACGGTACAACAGATCTAGTGACAATGAAAATATTTAAACTACGGTATTCATCTCAAATAACTATTTCGGTATCATATCGAGTAAAACACTTGTCCCACATGCAACTCAAAATAATCGGTAACATATTCATATTAAAAATCATGTGTAAATCATGCAAGTTATGAAAACACAAATTGCGGTAAGATTACTACTCATAGTACTCGTGCCGAAATACCAAATGCTTCACCTCGAGCAATTCGTACAAATTCCTCCAATCAATCTATAATTACATAATATCAATCTCATGTTAATTTCCTTGTTTAAGCTAATTCATAGCTAATTTAGAATACCCAATCATCGGGGTTCATGTTTGAGTCTAAATTTGTGAATTTATATTTAATCATAGAACTAGTCCATCATTCTATCAATTTCAACTAATTAGTATAATTTACTCCTCTAAAATTAGACCTATCAGTGCTTAAACCAAACCCTTATAGCCTTGTTATCTCCATAGTAATTGTATATTTCTTTTTATATAAGAGAAAATTGATATTGAATTCCTTTGTACTACATGAAATTGCATAAATACAATGAAATAATTCAACAGATGAGAAGAAGAAGGTTAACCTCTTGAATCGAAAGAGATCTTTATCAATTTCAACTCTCAGTTCTTCTTAAAGCCTTTGCCCAAAGCTTTTTTCTTCTTCTTCTCTTTTCCCTTTTTTTTCTCTCGGAAACTTGCTGCTTCTGTTCCTTTTACGCAGCTTGCTGCTTCCCCTTTTGTTTAATTCTAATGTTTTCCAGAGAATGGGCTTTGTGCCCTTTAAATCTTATTCTTCTCTTTTTTTCTTTTTTTTTCCTCTTTTCTCTTTCTAGTCACGACATGGGCTAAGCCCACATGTATTATGCCTTTTTTTTTTGTTTATTTTGTTCCAATATTTTTTTTTTTTTTTGTAGTTACTTTATTGTAATTATTATTATTATTATTAAAATGTCCAATACACCCTCTTTTAAAATATAGAGTATTACATCCTCCCCACCTTATGAAATTCGGTCCCCGAATTTAACTCAAGTACGTACCTGTAGACTGAAACAAATGGGGGTACTTGACTCGCATAGTGTCTTCTATTTCCCAAGTAGCTTCTTCAACTGTATGATTTCTCCATAAGACTTTCACGAACACGATTTCTTTTGACCGTAGTTTTCTTATTTGTCTACCAACAATAGCCATTGACTCCTCCACGTAAGACAACTTCTCATCGAGTGGTATAGTCGGTGCTTCAATCACCTGAGATGAGTCTGATATACATTTTCTTAGCATTGAGACATGAAACACTGGGTGAATAAAGGACAACTCAGGAGGAAGTGCCAAACGATAAGCCACCACTCCCACTCGGTCTAGTATCTCATACGGTCCTATAAACCTGGGGCTCTACTTGCCTCTTTTACCAAACCGCATTACACCTTTCATGGGGGAGACTCGTAGGAACACTGTGTCTCCAATTGTGAACACTAATTCTCTTCTTCTCTTATCAGCATAAGACTTTTGTCTGCTTTGAGCTGCAAGCAATCTCTGTCTGATCAACTGGACCTTGTCCATAGCTTCTTCTACTAGGTCGGGTCCCAATAAGTTAGTCTCACCAGCTTCAAACCATCCGATGGGAGAACAACATTTTCTACCATACAATGCTTCGTACGGTGCCATTTGAATACTGGACTGGAAGCTATTGTTGTAAGCAAATTCAGCTAACGGTAGATAAGTGTCCCAACTACCTCCAAACTCAAGAATGCAAGCTCTCAACATATCCTCCAAGATCTGAATAGTACGTTCAGACTGCCCGTCTGTCTGTGGATGAAATGCAGTACTAAGATCTACTCGTGTACCTAATGCTTCTTGAAAAGATTTCCAAAAGCGTGAAGTGAACTGTGATCCTCTATCAGAGATGATGGATATTAGAACTCCGTGAAGTCGGACAATTTTGTTCATAAATATCTGCGCATACCTGACTCCACCATATGTAGTCTTCAACGGCAAAAAGTATGCTGATCTCGTCAGTCGATCTACAATCACCCATACTGAGTCATAACCTCTAAGGGTTCGTGGTAGCCCGGTGACAAAATCCATAGTAATTCTTTCCCATTTCCACTCTGGAATCTCAATTTGTTGTAGTAGTCCTGCGGGTCGCTGATGCTCAGCCTTGACCTGCTGACAAGTCAAACAACTAGAAATAAAGTTAGCAACATCTTTCTTCATACCTTCCCACCAATAAAATTGTTTCAGGTCATGGTACATTTTTGTGGATCCAGGATGTATAGTGTATTTAGTGTTGTGAGCTTTTTTAAGAATAGCATGTCTCAACCCGTCTATGTCTGCTACACATAGCCTGTCACCCATTCGAAGAACACCATCACTTTCAACAATCATATCCTTGCTTTAACTAGCTAAGGCCTCATCTCTGTATTTGCATAATCGTTCATCCTCATATTGGGTGGCCTTAATGCGCTCAACTAATGAAGACTTAGCCTGAGCACAAGCCAACAATGCCTCTGAATTTTCGACACTAAATCTGATACCTGTATCTTCTAGTCTCTGAATATCTCTGGCCAATAGTCTCTTTGCAGGGGCTATATGTGCCAAACTCCCCATAGATTTTCTACTCAATGCATCAGCCACCATATTGGTTTTTCCAGGATGATACAAAATAGAACAATCATAGTCCTTGAGTAATTCCATCCAACGACGATGCCGAAGATTTAGATCTCTCTGCTGAAAGATATACTTCAGACTTTTATGGTCAGTATAAATCTCACAAGTTTCGCCGTATAGATAATGTCTCCAAATTCTTAGAGCAAATACCACTGCAGCCATCTCCAAATCATGTGTAGGATAGTTTTTCTCGTGCTTTTTCAATTGTCTCGAAGCATAAGCTATAACACGGCCATTTTGCATGAGAACACATCCTAATCCCACCCTCGAGGCATCACAGAATACTATAAATCCTCCAGAACTTGATGGTAAGGCTAATATTGGTGCAGTTGTCAAACATATTTTGAGTTTTTGAAAGCTCTGCTCACATTCCTCCGTCCACTGAAACTTTGCATTTTTCTGTGTTAGCTTGGTCAGCGGCGCTGCTATTCTGGAGAAATCCTGCACAAAACGCCTGTAATAGCCTGCTAAGCTTAAAAAGCTGCGAATCTCTGTAGGAGAAGTAGGTTTGTGCCATTTCTGCATAGCTTCAGTCTTCTTAGGATCTACCATAATTCCATCCTTGGAAACAACATGCCCCAAAAATGATACCGAGTCTAGCCAAAATTCACACTTCGAGAACTTAGCATAAAGCCGATGCTCTCGCAATGTCTGCAACACAGTCCTGAGATGATCCTCCTGTTCTCCTTGGCTACGAGAATATATCAGGATATCATCAATAAATACTATCACAAATCTATCCAAAAACGGCTTAAACACCCTATTCATTAAACCCATGAATACCGCTGGAGCATTAGTCAGTCCGAAAGGCATCACGAGAAACTCATAGTGCCCGTATCGAGTTCTAAAAGCAGTCTTAGAAATATCTTCATCTTTGATTCTAAGTTGATGATAACCAGAACGGAGGTCTATCTTTGAAAAGTGGGCAGCTCCTTGTAACTGATCAAACATGTCATCTTATACGGGACAAAGGATATTTATTGCATATTGTTATCTTGTTCAACTGCTTGTAGTCAATGCACATTCTCAGGGATCCGTCGTTCTTTCTTACGAACAGTACTGGTGCACCCCATGGTGATACACTAGGTCTAATAAAGCCCTTATCTAACAAATCCTGTAACTGTTGCTTTAACTCCCTCAACTCTGCTGGATACCAAAGTCTATTTCTCGTACTAGAGGCAATCCTGGTAAATCCTCAGGAAATACATCAGAAAATTCTCTCACTACGGGTACATTTTCTACACTAACTGTTTCCTTTCTTGTGTCATTTACAATAGCTAAGAGACCCAAGCAACCTTTCTTCAGAAGTCGTTGAGCTTTCATAAAAGATACAATTTTGCAAGTCTCTGGACCTGACTCCCTCTTAGAATAAAACTAGGTTCATTTGGTATCTCAAATATAACTATCTTTGCATGAAAATCGACTATAGCATAGAAAGAAGATAACCAATCCATTCTCATCAGCATGTCAAAGTCAATCATATCAAGTACAATAAGGTCAGCTAGAGTATCTCTTCCCTCAACCCAAATCTGACAAGAACGATACACGTATTCAGCTAATAGAGACTCTCCGACAGGAGTAGCAACTAGAAAAGGATCATTCAATAGCTCGGGCTGTCTACTAAATCTCAAAGCAAAGTACGAGGACACATAGGAATGAGTAGATCCCGGATCAATCAACGCAAGTGCATCAAATGAACAGATAGAAAGAATACCTGTAACCACTGCATTCGAGGTCTGAGCNAATGTATAAATACTCGTCACCATGCCTATACATCGTACTCGATCACATAGCAATTAGCAACAAGACTCAACTCCTATTCCCTCAAGCTAGGGTTAAACCAAACACTTACCTCAAAGCCTTGAAATCCACTTAATCCTCAACTATCGCTTTACCTCGCGGTTCCACCTCCAATTCGCTCGAATCTAATCACAAATTGTTCAATTACTTTAATAAACACTATATGAATCAATTTGAATGCATAAAAATGATTTTCCCAAGTTTTTCCCAAAAATTCCAAAAACGCCCCCGGGCCCACGTGGTCAAAACCCGAGGTTCGAACCAAAACCCGGTTACCCATTCCCCCACGAGTTCATATCTATGTTTTGTTTTGAAATCGGACCTCAAATGGAGGTCCAAATCCCAAATTTTAAGAAAACCTAAGTTCTACCCAAAATCCCCATTTTCACCCATGGAAATCCTTGATTTTAAGATGAAAACATGTCTAATGATGTTGAAGATTGAAGAAGTTAAGTAAAAATTGACTTACAAATGATTTGGAGAAGATAGGTATCTTGGAAAATCGCCTATGGAGTTTGGGTTTTGAAAGAATGAAGAAAAGAGGGTTAAAATTCGTCTAAGTATGAAAAATTGCAAGTCTCAGATGTGGGAAATGCGAACATGGGTTCGCAATTGCGAACCCAGCAGGCTTGGGAATTGCAAAAAATGTTTGGGAAATGCGAACCTGGGAATTGCGAAGAAAGTTTGGGAAATGCGAACAGGCTTGGGAATTGCGAAAAATGTTTGGGAAATGCGACCCTGGGAATTGCGAAGAAAGTTTGGGAAATGCGAACAGGCTTGGGAATTGCGAAAAATGTTGGGAAATGCGAACCTGGGAATTGCGAAGAAAGTTTGAGAAATGCGAGCAGGCTTGGGAATTGCGAAAAATGTTTGGGAAATGCGAACCTGGGAATTGCGAAGAAAGTTTGGAAAATGCGAACAATCCTGGTAATTGCGAAAAATGTTTGAAAAATGCGAAACCTGCAGACCTGCAATTCCTTAAGTCCAAATTTCACCCCGTGGCCTATCCAAAACTCACCCGAACCCTCGGGGCTCCAAACCAAACATGTACACAACCTCAAAAACATCCTACGGACTTATCCGTGTGATCAAATTGCCAAAATAACATCAAAATCATTGAATCAAGCCCCAAATTCATCATTTTTCATTATAACTTCATAAACTTCAAACTTTAGATATTTAGGTCTGAAACACGTCAAATGACGTCCGATTTTGACTAAACTTTACAGAAAGCGCTTAACACATATTTAAGACTTGTACCGGGCGTCAAAACCATAATACGAGCCCGATACCACAGTCTTTTAATCAATTTTCATTTCCTTTTTCCTTAATAATTTCAGAGAAATAATTTCACAGAAAAATTCTTTCCTCGGGCTCTAGACCTCGGAATTCGACTTCGGGCACATGCTCGAGTCCCATATTTTTCTACGGACCTTCCGGGACCGTCCAATCTCGGGTTCGGGTCCGTTTACCCAAAATGTTGACCAAAGTCAACTTTAATCATATTAATATCAAAATTCATCATTTTTCACACATAATTCATATTTAAGCCTTCCGGCTGCACACCCGGACTGCACACGCAAATCGAGGCAAGTAAAATGAGGTTTTCAAGACCTCGGAAGCACGGAGTGAATGAGGAAATAGGTGATGACCCTTTGGGTCGTCACATCCTCCACCTCTAAAATAACCGTTCGTCCTCGAACGGACAAAAGAAAGAAGTACCTGAGTCGGGGAACAGATGTGGATAACGGCTCCGCATATCAGACTCGGACTCCCAGGTCGAGGCCTCAGGGGGCTGACCTCTCCACTGAACACGAACAGAGGGAAAACTCCTAGATCTCAACTGACGAACCTGCCAGTCTAGAATAGCTACCGGCTCCTCCTCATAAGATAAATCCTTGTCCAACTGGACAGTGCTGAAGTCTAACACATGGGTAGGATCCCCGTGATACCTTCGAAGCATAGACACATGAAAAACTGGATGCACGGCTGATAAGCTAGGTGGCAATGCAAGTCTATAAGCCACCTCTCCTACTCGATCAAGAATCTCAAACGGGCCAATGTACCTAGGGCTATGCTTGCCCTTCTTTCCG